TATATTTATATATTTATTATTTTATTATATTTATTAAATTTTATTAAATTTGTATTTAATTATCTCAATATAATATTTAAATAATTATATTTTATATATTATTATATATTATCATTTAAATATAAATTTAAATAATTCATTATTCTTGCCGGTACTCAGTACTAAAAAAGGAAAAAATGTACCGGTCGCGAATTTGTTAACATACGTTTCCAGTTTTCATTCGTGACAAACCACTTTTTTTTTGAGATGATAGAAATATCAACTTGCATAAATAATACGATAATATAAAGAGAAACAGACAACCTATTTGCGATTCTGGAAAGTCATGTTTAGAATTAGTTATTTTTTCCTTGTTATCCATATCCTCAGTATATTGTTATTACATATATTACGAGTAACACATTTTGCGAATTCAACGCAATTTGTATCGCAAATAAATATACATTATTACACGTATAATCGTAATGGAAAAAAATTGCGATAATATATATTGATATGTAAACAGGAATCATTTTTTATGCAATAAAATACATTGTATTTACAATCCTTAGATAACTTCAATGTAATAATATCAATAATCAGGAAGAAGAAAAAAATACAAATCGACTGTGAAAGAAAAAATATTTGAACATTTTATTTAAAATAATTTGAATATTAAATGGTTATATTTCGATTAGCTGTTAATGGATATCGAAGGATATAATATATATTATTTATATATATTATTGAAATGTATGTATCTATGAACAAAGCAGCATTATTCCTTCTTAACGATTCATATGCAACACAAGTTTTTCCTCACATAACTAACTTCTTTGTTCGTTCTTTCACGAATTCAATGATCTCGTGTTGTTCCACCTACATGAATAAATAATCATTTAACAAAGATAGGAGGGGAGAGAGAGGGAGAGAGAGAAAGAATTGCATTTGTGCACAAATGGAACGTTCAAAGATGCAAAATGCAGTATGACAAACTTGTAAATAAATCGAATTATATTTATGTAACAAGTTTTTCTAGTTGAGAAATAGCTGCGATCACAAGTAAAAAGATAATAAAATGAAAAATTTAATCAATTATACATAATGAACAATTAATTATTCAATACGATTATTCATATTTCTATGAAACTCACGATTAACTCATAGATGACGATTATATATTTTTCCAAATCTAATCTTATCTCACGTAAAAAATTACAAACGTAGTACATATTCCGGGTTTAAAATAATCATTTTCGAGTGTATTGATAACGTTTTAAATAAGCTGTTTGTAAATCGCACGCAATGGTATGTTTTTCCTTTTTTCTTTGATGACTGAAAGTAAGATTATTTCGATGATTGAAGAATCAAGACGAAGGTCAGAGAATGAATTAATAAGAATTTATTTCTATTGAAATAGAATTTCTTTTTCTATTGAAATATTATTTTTCAAGTTATTTTATATCTCATTAAATTTACATTTAAAAGAAAAATATATTTTGATGATTCAGAGTTTATATTGTTGATTTTGTAAATCTTCAAACATTAATGCATTTTGTAATTACGGAATATTTTGTACAAACGGACGTATCATTAGGGAAGAAATATAGGAATATTTTCTTTGCTGTCAAAATAACCTTCGATTGCTTTGAACGGTGGTGGTAAAAGCAAGGTCCTTAATACATCTTATTTTCATGGTCACAGATAGATATTCAGGTAAAATGTATTCTCATCGTCAGATTGTTCGATACTTCTCTCAGAAGAGGATCAACAAGTTATTAGTGTTAATTTTTCAGACAGTGTATTGACGAAATTTAATTAATATTATATTTATTCGGAAATCATATTTCATAACAATGATTGAAAGAAATGTGTGTATTCTTTTTATTTCTTTTATATTAATTAATCAATTATTCACCCCAGTATTATTAGAAGTAACATTTCTGGATAATCCGGAAAATATTCGACTTTATCGATTGTTTCGTATTGGAATTTATAAACTTCTTGGTATGTATCTTTCTCTTTCTCACTACAATTATTAGTTAAAGATCGTTAAGTGATAAGTGTAAAAAGGTTTTCCGTATTGATTTTAATTAGTTTTATTTCGTTATTTAATTAGGATAAATGTTTATCTTTTTTTTTTTAAACGAATATATCAACACAAGTGTAACAACTAATAATCATTGAATATTTTTGTTTAAATTTTATTTAAGTCTCTTTAATTGTTTTTTTTTTTATTCTGACAAAATTAATTTGAGTGATATTTGTAGTCACAGTGTTAATATCTATCAATACTATAAATATTTGTGAAAAATACAGGTTTAAATCTATAAATGATTTGACTTAATTAATTTGATTAATTAAGGTTCTACAAGTACTTCAGAAAGATTATTGAAAAGAGCCAAAGAGTTAAATACAACGCAAAAACAGTTTGCAGAAAATGTTTCTTTTCCGTGCGACGTTAAAGGTAAAAAAAAAAAAAGACGAAAAATATTTCTTAAAAAGATTTAATTGTTTTAGATAATAGTGAGTAATTTTTTATTAAATAGGCTGGAGATCAGATATTACACCCACAAGTGTTAATCGTTTAAAACCAGGTGACATAGATATTATTGCATCTATGGGGGATTCTTTGTCTTCTGGAGCAGGAATATTTGGATCGAACATTTTTCAGGTTTTGATCGATAATAGAGGAATTGTTGCTGCTGGTGGTGGCCAAGATACATGGAGAAAATATTTGACTTTGCCCAATATACTTAAGGTATTGTACAAAGTTATGTGCGTTACCGCAAAACGAATAAAAAATTAGGATTTGTTTAACGAGCGATGTATATTGCAATACGAATAGTAAAATGAGGATTAATTTGTTTAATTTTTATTTACAATAAATATTTTGTATTTTATGTATTTTCTTCTTCTTATGTATTTTACTTATATGTAATTTATAACGACTGTTTTGGATTACGAGCACATTTCTGAAATGAATTATATACATATGAATGGAAAAACGATATGATAATTTTAATAATTCGTATTTTAATAAATTACATATTTTAGAAAAATTGATAATTTTGAAGGAAATAAAGATTTCGATTAATGATTCTTACGTTATTAGGAAATACGTTGTATGTTATAATACGTTTATAATACGTTTATAATATGTTGATACGTTATACGATTCTTACGAAAATGTAACATTGTAAATGTTAAAATTTATTTAACGTCATATTATTTCTATCTTGCAGGAATTTAATCCAAATCTATACGGTTATGCTACAGGGGATTCTTCAACGTTACATAAGGCTTCCAAACTAAATGTTGCCGAGGTTGGAGGTATATCAAGTGATATGCCTTATATGGCATCGGTGCTTATTAAAAGATTAAAATCTGACCCTCAAATAAATATGCAAAAACATTGGAAGGTATTTTTTTTGCCTTACTTTTTTTTGTATCTTTATCAGTTTTTCGCCTACGTGTCATTAATGCTGTATAAAGGTTCTTTTGTTTTTTTTTTTTGTTTTTTTTTTATAACGCCTTTTAATATAAATAAATAATGCTATTTTAATATTAATAATTTATCTAATAATAGTATTATGTAATATATATTAGAAATTTAAATGACGTACAAATTAATTCCTACATCGATTTTTTTACTTTAGCATATTTCATTGATGATCGGAGGCAATGATTTTTGCTTATTCATGTGTACGGTCCCGACGAATGAATTTTTGGCAAATCACGAACGAGACATTGTGGAAACTCTAAGGATACTTCGGGACAATGTACCAAGAACTTTTGTGTCTCTTATTATACCACCACATTTAAAAACACTTGTTGACAATCGACTCAAGGGAAGACCATCCCTTTATTGTGAATTACTCAATGACTTTTCATGTCCTTGTTTATTTGGTTATATGCGTGCCAATAAGAGACAAGAGTATTACAAAATTATGGAAAGGTCAGTTTTTTTTTTGTAATTTATATTAAACATTTTTATATTACAATTAGTTTGAGACGTAGAATGAAATTCATTTAAATAAGAATTTTTTTTTCTAATAATTTAGATCGATTTAATCAGCATTTTAAATTTGTAATTATTCGAAATTCCATGAAACGAAAAAATTAATAATGATTAGTGCATTTAATAATTTTACTTGTATTACATTTATGTGATTATTGTAATTATTTAATTAGGTGGCAAGAAATAGATATCAAAGTAAGTAGATATCCTGAATTTCAAAAAGATGATTTTGCGGTAGTGGCTCAACCAGTCTTGAAAAAATTAGAATATCCAACAGGTGACGATGGATATAAAGATCCATCATATTTCACCATTGATTGCTTCCACGCATCGCAAAAAAGTAATTCTTTATGTAAGTTTTTTTTTTACTCGATATACTCTTTTTAATTGATTATTGTGATAAAAAATTCATTATTTACATGCATTTCAATCAGAAGAATCTAATAAGACATTACAGTTTATAAATGAATATGCTATGACTTCAAAAGAATAAAAACAGGTTCAATTATTTTCTTACGCAAATATATAATTACCTTGAAACAAGTTTGCCCAGTTTAGAAACGTTTACGTATACATTTGATAATATAATCGATTATTATATATATATAGATACATATTTCTTATTATGTGCAATAATGTGAAATAATGATTTTATACGTTAGATCATTTCGATAGAATATGTTGTAATACATATTTTAAAATAAAAACAACAGTTTTCTGTTTTAATTTTACAGATGCTGTTAACCTTTGGAATAATTTAATCACACCTTACAAAGACAAGGCAGTTGGGTTCATTACAACTGAATTAAAGTGTCCTACTAAGGAAAATCCTTATTTATTTACTTATAATAATGAAGGGCTCACCGAAGATTCCAAATGAAATACTTTAAATTATTCTAATAAAATATTTTTCAAGAACGATTTCGTTATTCTTAGTATTTTTTTTTATTATCAATTTAAAGTTATGCCAAATGCCATAATTTATTAAGAGCATATCATTAGTGTTTCCAAATCATTTTTATATAACAAGTAGCCTACAACACGACATCTTATAACACGGTTTCCTTTCAAAAAACCTTTATACAACACTGTACTTCTACAGCCGCGGCGAGGCTTGCCGTCTTAAAGATACAGTATTACGGAAAATATTTCTTTACATTTCCATGGCCTTAAAAAAAAAGTTTTTAGCTCATGGCTCTGGGTCTCATACAACACTGTTTCACACAACACGGCATTTTCTAGGACCCTATCTACCGTTTTATAGGAGGGTTACCTGTAATTTATTCTGTTAAATAGAATAAATTTAAGATGTAGATGAGAGGACAATATTAGGAGGAATATTTAAAAAAATTAAAGTACGAGAAACGCGAATTTTAGAGGTCACGCTCAGGGACGAGATCACTGGCGGAATTTTTGATATTTGAGTCAATGAACTTTCAAATTCCTAATGGCAGTTAATAATAAGAATTACAATAATAATAAGTAGAATAAATTTAATTTCATAAAATTTTAGGGAAAAGAATTGTAACACTTTAAACATTAATTCGTAACTAGCAAAATACAATTCTATGTAATTTAAACAAAAAATAGAAAATATTAAAAATAATATTTATATAATACACGTACAGAATACACATTCAATATATTATATAATAATAATAATTATTAATTTTTATTATATAATATATTACGTTAGTTATTGTAATTAGTAATTATAATTAATTACATTGTATTAGAAAAGTAAAAATTTGTAAAGTAAAGAATTTGATTCATTTCACAAGATTAAAATTACGAAATGGTGGTACCATTAATTCTTGAATATAAAAAAAACAAATGAATAATTCGTGTATGTAATTATTAAAAAAAAAATAAATTATAAAATACACGAGACATATATAATAGATGTTTACCCATTAAATAAGACAACTTGACAAATTTTTATAATTACCGATTCGTGGAAGAAAATAAATACAATAGTAGACGGATAGAAACGATTAAATAAATGGATCTATTTATTTAAAAATAAAAGAGAAAGAGAGTTTATTTCTCTTGCACTTATTTACGTGTATCACGTATTTACTCTTGTTGAATATAAAATAGAAGTAACAATAAGTGGGCCTGAGAATAAATTTGATAGGAACAAATAAACCTGGTGGGGAAAGCAGACTCAGGAGGGATTGAGGATAAGTGAGGGTAGGGGAAGGAAGGGAAGAAAGTTGTTGGTTTATGTTGGTAGAAGAGAAGAAGGAAATATTCTTCTTCCTTTACATCATTCATCAGTTATGTCCAGTACTATTTCAAGCGTATACAAGGACACTGCACTATCATAGATGTGTTGTTGTAATAGTTAAAGAAGTATATTTCCTACTATCGTTTGGCATAAATTAATTTTTTTAATTTACATCAATCTATTGAACGAGAAGTAAAAACAAAGTTAAAGTGTTTGTACATAATTAGTATAGTGCGTTATTCGCTCTTTGTTTTCTTCGTTTTTTTTTTCGTTTTTTTTCTTTTTCTTTCTATTAATGATTCTGTTCAAAGTTCAATGTATCGCACCAAGGACGGTATTTAAATTATACTTCTTTTTAATTATAGAAAATGACGACTCGGAATAAAGACACTTTTTTAAATTACCGTTGCAATTTTTAATAAAATGTACAGAAAAAGATCGTGAAACAAACTGTTGAAATTAATGAGTTATTGTATAAACTAAGTGTTGTATGTTATTCTTAAAAATAATACAAAATTATAGAAATATTTTCAATACGAATTATGAGGAAGATAATTGATTAGATAACTTTGATGATTATTATTTTCATTTAATAAATTTATTATTTATCATTAAAAAAACAACTGTGGTATTTGTAAACATAAAATATATTTATTAGATACGAGTTATGAATATTATTATTTTTCTAATTATGCAATTATTTATAAAAATATTCAGTGATTGATTATTATTGATAATACCAAGTGCATTTCGACGAAAATATATTCTTTTTTATCGGTGAGAAATAAAAATAGAAAATTCTGAGCGATGAAAGCTAGAAATACGATTTTACTGTTCATTATTCAAATGATTACTGTTACTCAAGGTGCTACTTTCACAGAACTGTTACTAAATATGTTAAAATCCGGTAGGGTAAGTGATATATTTTTCATAATTATATTCAGTTTTAATAAATACTTACTCAAAAGTCACATGCTCTATATTTCATTAATTTGTAAATTTTTTTCTTTTAAAATCATATAATTATGATAAAGATCCAATCGTAATTTAACATATACCAAATATATAAACATATTTTTTTATTGCATTGAAAAAAAAATAAAAAATATTTGAACAATTTGAAATAATACGTGGTATATATATATATATTCAAATTATAAGAAATACATTTATTAAAGGATAAAAAGAGAAAAGAAAAGATTTTCAGATATTTTAAATACATTCGTAACTTTAATTATTTTTATAATCTCACGTTAAAATTTCGTGATTTCTATTTGATTGCTAGTACATATGTGTTTGTGCGTGCGTATATAAAAATAAATTATAAACGAGCCTGTTTTTATCACTCAAACGAAATTTAACTTTCAAATAAACAAGAGAAAATGTCATTCAAAAAAGAAATCAAAAAGAATATAAAAAAGAATGAAAAGAATAAAATTGAAGCAAATAAAAGATCAGTTAAATAACCAAAGAGATTAAATTTTTGTATTCCTTTTTCATCTTTACATTTTTAATTTCTATTATATAGACATTATTAGACAGACGTGAGAACGACATGAGATAGAATAAATTTAATATTTATTTTCTTTATTATTTTATATATAAAAAAAAAATTGAAAATAAGTTTTAAAATTTTGTTTTTATTTGCATTTGTATTTTGTATTTTTATTTTTTATTTTTATTTTTTATTATATATTTGTCAAAAATTTTCTATTTACCTCGTATAACTTTTCATAGTCGTCTTCACCGAAATATTAGTATTCAACGGTATTTAAGTTGAAACGGGATGTAGTAAAATGGTAATGAAAGAAAGTAAAAGTCTATACGTGAAATGACTACGTTATTAATTTTATCATAAAGGGGTGTCAATCACAAAAATACTTCACGAAAGTATCTACCAATATGGTCAGAGATATCGAAGAAAATTTTTATCTATCTATATATCTATATATATATACACACACGCACATGGGCATGATTTTGTAACACTTTCTGTCCTATTTATATGTATATTTATTATTTCTTATATATGAGTTAATATATAATAAATGTACAGGTTCGGTATCCAAAGTATTAATCTTCAAAATTTGATTAACTATAAAAATAAAAATAAAATAAGAATAATTTTATCTATTAATATAATTTTAAAAAAATCATTTTTTCTATACTAATAATAATTTGTATTAATATATTAACGAGTATAACATTGTTTTATTTATATTTAATATTTTCTTTTATTTTATTCAAATAAAAAGATCAATGTGTGTAAAAGAAGACAAGAAAATAGATTTAAAATAAAATAATTGTTATTATTTTAACGAATATTTCACGTACATAGACATACACCATACACATTACATTACGAACGTTAGAAATATATCGAAGAAATTGTTTCGTCACTAAATTCTTATGATTCATTTCAAGTAATTTAATCTTCTCACTTTAAAATATTCCTGTCAAAAACGTAATTCACTTTCATATATTCAAGAATAAGAATCTCGTAATTTGAATGCAAACTCATTATCAATTATTTTTTCCATCTTGAGCAAATGAACATAATAACACTCAGGATTTGTAATGACTATTAATTTCTGAATTATTCATCAGGAATTAATTCATGAAAACTTTACATAGTACATGCATATATATATCTATATGTCTAAGTCTAACATAATATATATATATGTCTTATGTTTTTACATTACTCTCTCTTTTTCTTTTTTATTCATATCTTTTTTAGGAAGATTTCAATGTTAACGGTATTATTTATACGATAATTCCCGATGCAGTACGAAGACAACCAAATATACCTGAAACTGTGCCGTTTCCATGCAACACCCGTTTCGGCAGGTTTGATAAAAATAAAATTCATTTAATAAATATTAAATAAATATATAAAATGAAAATTATAAAAATAATATAAAAGATAGGAATATTAATTCATATTTTTTTTTTTAATTAGATCACCATACATACCGAACAGTGTTCATAAGTTAAGACCAGGTGACATTGATGTTATTGGTGGTCTCGGTGATTCATTGGTAGCTGGAAATGGTGCTTTAGAAGAATTTGCTATTGGAACATTTATCGAAGCACGTGGTGTCAGTTGGTGTGCTGGTGGCCAAGACAATTGGCGAAAAATTTTAACCATACCAAATTTATTAAAGGTAAATGGTTATTTTTATTTGTAAACGATGAATTATTAATCGATAATATAATCCATTCTCATAATTATTATAAAAAATTGGTTTTTTTCTATTTTATTAATATTATTAAATTAAATGATTAAATAAATCAGATTTATCAATGATTCTTATAAAAATATACGTATGTTAAATGTTTCTTTTTTTTTTTTTTAATGATCACAGGTATTCAATCCAAATTTAACGGGATATTCGACAGGTACTGGTGAATTGATTTCCTCAAAATCAAAATTAAATGTCGCATATCCAGTAGCAGCTACCGAAGATGCATTAGAACAAGCAAAAATACTCATTCACAGAATAAGAAATGATCCTAAAATTCATTTTACCAAACATTGGAAGGTAATGATTAAACATTATTTTAACGTATAATAAAATGTATGAATAGTAACCAAGAAAAAAATTGATTATTTTTATAGTTGATCACAATTCTCTTCGGTGCAAATGACATTTGTTCGGCTCAGTGTTACAGCCCTGAACAATTT